ACGACAAAGTGGTTCCCCTTTAGATAGTAGAGCATTTTTCAGATGTCCTATAGGACGATCAGGTATTCCAGTTCGGTGGTTGAATAGTTTTGTTCAATCTGGCTGAGTATCGGGCTTATGTAGACGATGACTCGTTCCCAGGCCGTCTTGGCTAGCATCTAGAGGACGAAGATGAGGGGAGTTCTTTCGTATTGGTCGGTGGTATTAGTTCTGCGACTGTGGCTGTCCTTTCGGGATCAACTTGAAGTCCTTCCCAGTCGACGAGGTATCGTAGATATGTTATGTTCGTCGCTCAAATTTGCATTTTTCTCAATTTAGCTGCGCCGTTCACAGCGTACGTAAAACTGCAACCTGTGATCCGCGTTGATCGTCAAAGGTAGTCATAACGATTACGATATCATACAGGTAGGCAAGTACATAGGGCGTCATTTCCAGAGTAATTCGGTCGTGGTGTCTCTGAAAGATGGATGGCGCGGAAGAGAATTATAACGGAGTATCTACTTGCCAGCCATGTCACCAGACGGTATGACGACGCGCGCGCGACTTGTGACCTCCTGGTGCTAGACGCTTTAGTCAGCCAGGGTCCATCACGAGAGGAAGGGGTCGGGTCGAGGTGTAATGACAACGCGATGTTTAATCGTATAACTACTCCTTTATTTCGTTCGCAATGGCCAACGGCGTTGATGCCGAGAAGGGCCCGTCGGTGCTCGGTCGAGCTGCGGGGGTTGCCTTGGTCTAGATTGACAGTATAATGTTAGCTAATCTGGTGACGGCGATGACGCAAGATTACAATACTACTTAACCTACACGTACATATCTAATGGTCAGGGAATGCCCGGTGTGACGTTCGCGGTACCTATCTCTAAATGGCACAGTTATCCCGCTGGTTGTATTTAGAGTGTGGGGTTCCTGGGTGGTGCTGTGGCCCGTCTTCTCCTCGGCAGTCGATGACGGGCTTGTCATGCAACTATACTCGAAGTTGTAACTGACGGAGGATGTCCATTCATAGCAGCATGCGGTAGGCTAAGTCGGGCACTTTGAAGAAGCGGAAGCGTTATCGAACACCGTGGATCGCGATCTGGCCCCAGTAGCTGCACTTAATAAGTGTCCCTATTCCGTTGGCTAAGGGGGCATTACGTTGTGTCAGCATTCCTTCCACTTGGCAGCTAGGCAAATCTGGGCGGTGTGTTGGTCGATGTATGATGAAACTGCCCCGGTGTCCAGTAGGGCGGGCACGATCTTATCCCTTATCCGGACGTCCAGCACTAGTCGGTCCCTCTGCTCGGTCGGGTTTGCTGGTCTTGGTTGAACCAACGGTTGGTGGTCAGTCTCGGCTGGCCCTAATCGATTCGGTTTTCTCTGTTCAGCTTTGGTCGGTTCTGATCGGCTCAGTTGCTTATGTTTCGTCGCGGCCGTTCCCGATTGTCTTGTCAACGAGTGATTGGCCGTGGTTGCGGGTGTCTTTTGGTTGCTTACTTCTGGTGTTGGGCGAACCCGCCTGGTGTTTCTCGGCTTCTCGCACGGGCAATCGCGGCTCGGTACCTCCTTTTGCCCGCAATGAGGTAGAAGCGAATTGCCCGGTTTTAGCATTAGTACCGGTCATGCCCGCGTTGGCTGCAGCACCAATAGTGTCTCAGGGGTGGCTTTTGCTTATTGGCAGTTTCTTAATTTTGTTCAGCCGGATATAGAGGCGGAAATCTTCAGCCATATTGAAGTAGATGACGTTGAGCTGTTCTTCTTTCGTAGATCCTGCTCGCCGTTGCATTAAGGTAGTAATTGCGATGACGTACGCGCGAATGGGTTCGCTCGGTGCTTGGTGATGTTTCGCGATTTGCAGGTTTAGTTGTGTCCTTTCCTCGGTAAGTAAGTAGAAGCTTCGCAGCCGTTGTCGGAGTTCGGTCCATGAGTTAATGTTGTGGGCTACGTTGCGGTACCATAGTTGGGCGTTTCCTCCCAGTTACTCGGGGAATCCCTTCTTCATTTGATTGTCGGTGAGCTGGTACGTATCTTCCAGTTCGTTCAGCCCTTCCAGAAAATCCTGCACATATTGCCCATCAAACTAGCAGTACCATCGTTATATCATCTCCATGAATCTAATCGGGTCGCTGGCTGTGTTAAAGGCGGCTTGCTGGACAGAGTTAATTAGTCGTAGGATGGTGTTGACTGACGGAGGAGTAGTGTTCCGCGCGAATCGGGGTGAAATTGTTCTCTACTCCGGCTCACGCAGCCTGAATGGTCTGCTGCCATATTCTCGCGATCTTCGCGTGGAATTCTTTGTTGTCCCGGGTTCGGTTCATCTCTTTCTTGTACCCGGGCTCATCGCCTGGGTAGTCGAGAAACTTCTCCGGATGACTGCGCACATAGGTGGCCAGTCGTTGCCGCAGTTGGATCCAGGTTTCATTAACCGTAAGCTGGAATCTCTCTAGCTTGTGAATGATTTCTGGCTTTCGTAGACGGTACACCCAACTAATTCCAGGTATCTTCTCTGGTTGTCTACAGTTCTACTTTCTCGTGATTTTACCGTTTCGGTTGCTTTTGTGAGAATGTCCACAGTAGGCAGATACTGGTTGCCTTTATATCCTTCCAGAGGGCGTTGCTGGTTGGCGCTTGCTCCACGGGACACTCAATCGCGGTCGTTAGGGGCCAGATGAATCGTTTCGTTCTGCTTGGTTCCTTAATCGTATCGCTCTCCTTTTACTGCTTTGGATCGCTCGACGGTGGCGAGGTGAATGCCTGCAGGCTGCTATTAATCCCACTTTTATTGCGCCTGGTTGGTAGCTGATAGGTGGCGCTGTCGGTGGTCGACTTAGTGGTTCGGTGACTGGCAAGAGATTTCTGTTAGTTGGAGGTTCTCTTCAGCGATAGTGTTAAGTCCTAAAACCGCTAATAGGTGAATGTTGTGGCGACTGGTGATTTCGTCTTTCCGGTCGAAACGCGGTAGTTGACTTCGACTCAGTCTCGGGGAATTGGCGTTTCAGGCCGCCTTCTCCTTGACGAAGTGTTTGCTGTTCAACCATGCGGCGTGTGCGACACCTGGGCCTCCTGGTGTTGGACGCTGCAATCAGCTAGGGTCAAGATGGAAAGGGAGGACTCGGGTGGTAATGACAATTTAAGGTTTGTTCTAACTATGTTGGCAATACAATATTAGCAAATAGGGTGACAGCGATGACGCATAATTACAATTTTATATGATCCAATTTTTAATACTGCTCTTGGTGGAGAAGGGTCCGGTATGGCGTCCGTGAATACTTGCTTCTAACGGTCGGGGGAACGTCCGACGTGGCGTTCGCGGTACTTACAGCTATTGTTGCTGAAGGTGCCTGATGTGGCGCATCCGGAAGTCATAATTAGCGATTCGATTCGTCACTTATAATTTAACTCGCGGTTGAGAGGGGGAGAGAGAGAGAGATAAGAAAATACACTAGGTATTGGCCACCTTTGGCCTGTCAGTACTTTTATTAAAACGAGAGTGTTCCTTCCTTGGAGTTGGCTATCCAACGCTATCCGTCGCTACTCGACGGTCTGGTGAGCACCGCGGCAAGGACTTCATTGCCGCAATACCTACCCCGCGACTATCCACAGGTCAGCCGGGCCGCCTGACTACCGAAGATTGGCGCAGCCAGCCCCGATGTAAAGTCTATCCGTTGCAACAACGTCGGCTGCCAGCTCGCCCAGTCCGGGACTATCCTCAGGGTGGGAGAGTCGTCCTGCCTCTTAGCAGGTTCTGCCGAGGCCGAAGTCCTAAGCCAACTGATCGATCGCTTGATTGATCCGCTACTACGTCTGTATCGATTTGGGTGGAGGATCCTAAACTTACGGTGTGCGACTTGCTATGCGCGGTTGTCGGAGCACGGCGGATCGTGTCGGACTGTAAAGTAACAATTATTACTTATTGGCAAAGCGAAAATGATATTGACACGATTAAAAAACAAAGATAAGTTAGCGAAATTTTTATACGTTGAATCAAACAAAGTAAAGATTGGTAAAATGTTAGTAAAAATATTTATTTTATATAAAACGAATATATGTAATTACAATTCGGTTTTCGTATGTTACATTTATTGACGAGAAAAAATTTAATATCGATAGTCCAGGTGTATTTAATTCGTATTGGGACGGTGTAAAAACATCGTTATTTTTCGAATCGCAACTTTGATGGTGACTCTGCTATGTTTTGAGTGTGTTTGTTGATTTATGTAAAAGGCTCCATATTTATCTCCATACTTATCCATATTTATCCATAATTATCAGTAATAATTATATTATTTAATATTCTTACTCTATAATTATTTAATATTCTTCGGATAGATCACTACAATGATAATTTAATTTTCATGTATGTTGCTTGACGAACTGTTAATCGCAGCAATGATTGTTGGATTACTTCAAAGTTATTAGGTCGAGTCATAAGTAACTTCCGATGCAGCTAAATAGATTTTATTGTGTGTACGGTAAGATTATGAAGGTATAAGTCACCACGAGTTGTTGAAGTCAAATTTAACGATTACTGCGGATAAATACATTCAGCAATTGCAAAGAGTGCAAGAGAAACTCCTAGAAAAGCGCCCTGTACTCGTCAATTGCAGAAATGTCATTCTTTTACACGACGACGCGCGACCGCATACAGCAAGGGTGACTCAAGAAAAAATTCTTGAGCTTGGATGGTCTGTTTTACTACATCCACCTTACTCCTCAGATCTTGCCCCGACAGACTACCATCTTTTCTGTTCCTTACAAAACTTTTTAAATGGAAAAACCTTCAATTCTGAAGAGCAAGTCAGGCAAGGCTGTTGAAAGCTTCTTCCAGTCCAAACCAACCACATTTTACAAGGAAGGAATTGATAAACTACCAGGAAAATGGGAGAAGGTTATAGAAAATAGTGGTGAATATATAATAAAATAATATAATTTTGTTGTTTAATGAGAACGAAATAAATGTCTGATAAAAAAACGGAAGTTACTTATGACTCGACCTAATATTTCAAAGACATACATCGTACTTGTATTTTCTTCTTCACGTTCACAGTGCTGAAACAAACGTATAGTATTATATTATACATTTAATAAAAGTGAAGTGAGCTTAGTACAATCGCATACAATTGAAGATAAATATTATTTTGCCATGATATTTTATATGAAAGATGGCGTAAAAAATCCCATTAAGTTTTTATCCTATCACCTATCGTTCAGAGGTTATATCAACCGATGCTTATCACGGGGCACCCTGTGTGTGCCCCATTAAGCTTTATGACTTATAAATCTGAGAAGAGTGCATTTTCACACCTCTTTTTCTACATGACGTTGCCTATATTGTCATATCATGGATTTTATAGGAAAATATTTCCGCTTAGACAAGGAATATTATTATTACAAATTAGCGGAACTAGAAAATGGTTGACCGAGTACTGTGCTTGAACTGCGCTTGAACAAAATTTGAATTTTATTGTTCCGTTTAATTATATCAGCAAATAAAACTGAATGTTTATGTCCTGCGAGATATGAAAAGATTAAACGAGTTTTAAACATTCCAAAAATACTGTATCATAAACAACAAATATTTATATTTCCGAAAGCGACACTTTTTTGACCTACATGCATGTTTATTTTGTTACGGATGGTAGAATAAAATAGCAAATACAGGATGTCGTTATAAAATGTTAATGCAATTTAAATATTAATTAGAGATGTTAATAAAAATCAATAATTTTATTGGGTTGGTGTGAACGGTAATTATTTTGAAAATTTATAATTGTAAGTTACATTTAATAATATCAATAAAACCCGTGTCCATTCTTTTTATTAAATATGTATGAATAATATGTATGTATACATACATATAAAAAATATGTATGTAAGTCATTTATATAAAAAAATATTATTAATTTAATAATCTGTATTAATATTATAATAATCTGGATAAATGAAAATAAAATTAATACGAAACTAAAATATGTTCTTTCGTAAGAAAAATTTCTTGAATATAATTTTATATTTTAAATTAATAATTATGATAAAGTGCTTGAAAAATAAAACTTATTTTTGAAAGGTATGGCAAGAAACATAACTTCAACAATACTTTTGTTAACGGTATAAATTGAATAATTAATGGACGGTATAGATTAATAAATATAGTTATTAATATTGCTAAATGTGTTATTAATCAGTGTTCTTTATAGAATTGTTACTTATTGAGTTTTATAATATTGTTATATATGAAGATACTTATTCTGTCTGCAACTAAATCTATGACATCATATGATACATTAATAATGTCATGAAAAATAATAATTGATAATAAATTCTCAATGCAATAATATGCAATAATATTAGGCGTACCGAAAAGTACTCAAAATTTCTTCAATAACTTCAAAGTTTTTGTATGAAAAATCAAAGGACTTTTTTTAAGAAGGGTATCGAACAATCGTCTCTACGTTGTCAAAAAGCAGTAGAAAATGATCGAAATTATTTTGTTGATTAACATTTAAGATTTCTTTAATAAATAAATGTTTTCCGCCAGCAAACAAAATTTTGGTTACTTTTTGGTCCCCCTAATAATTTTTACTTTCATATAACTTTTGATAGTACAGTAATATAGCATACTAAGAAACACTAAATACGTAACTAAAATATATTTTATTTTTCACTTGTATTAAATTAAAATAATTGTATCAATACACAAATGACAAATGAAATTTTTATCACGTCAAACATAGAAGGTTATTATTAATGTGGACATTGTCGCTATTGAACTTATTAAACGCGTGATAGGTTTAATAATGGCATAGTTCATTACTGCAGGTTTTACAGAAGAATTATTTAATTGAATGAATGCAGAAAGGAATGAATGCGAAATGAAGCAACTTCAGAAAGTAGTTGCGAAACCTGCATGTGACTAGCCGCCCTAATTAACCTAAACTTCGAACTTTTTCTCCGCAGAGAATGTGGAGGAAAAAGTGAAAATTAACTTAATGACCAATTTTTCTTCCTTATTTTTTCGAGTCACTACTAGATTTTAATTACTAACTAAATTCGAAAATTATTATGTTCTGCGTAGCAAAAATTGAAGCAGATATCATTTGCAAGATTAAAATATTTCGTTCAAATTATCGCGTCGTGTTTTTATATCGAAATTACATTTTAAGATGTAAATGTTTTTCTTCTCAGTTTCTTTTCTTGACGATATTTATGCGAAGATTTGGGTTACTTCAAATTGTAGGGAATGAGAAATTTTCAGATTTCATTTTTTTAGCCTTGGGTGTAGTTAAGATTTTCTGGCCTGCAAATATTCTTGAGTAAGATGAATTTTATTAAGCATCGTTTTCAAAATGTACAGGGTGTTCTCTGGAAAGAGATTTGAGATTGCATAAGTTTTTCAAGTGAAGAAATTCAAAATAATGTCCTAAATCAGGCGGTGCATATTTTTCTCTAGAGTGAAGTTGGTCTACGAATTTGGAAATCACGAAATTTTTAAATTTGAAAATTCGGGAATTTAAGAATTTAAACATTTGGAAATCTGGGGAAGAATTAGGAATTTGGGGATTTGGACATTTTTTAATTAGGAAATTGTAAATTTAGGGATTTCACGAACGTGAAAATTTTAGAATTTTAAGCTGATTATTTGGGAATTTGGGGATCCATTAATTTCGGAGTTAAAAAATTAAAAGGTTGAGGAATTTGGGGATTTAGGGATTTAAGAATGTAGGAATTTGGGAACTTGGAAATTTAAGCATTCAAAAATAGAGGCATTTAGGAGTTCAGGAATTTGAAAATTTGAAGATTTAAAAGTGAATTTGGGAATTTGGAAATGTAAAAGTGTTAGAATTTTATAATTTCTATAATTTTTTAACTTGGATCTTAAAAGATTGAGAAATAGAGAAAGTAGACATAAAAATGTGGAAATTTTAGAGGTATGGAATTTGAGAGTTTAAGAATCTGAGAATTCGGGAATTCGAAAATTACTAATTAAACATTTTAAAATTAATATTTTAACATTTTAAATTATCTGTTTCAAATTAATACTTTTTGTTTACGAATCACCGATATACCTTCATATAACAAATCTTCTGATAAATGCACTAAAACTATCAAACAACTTCAATCGTAAATTTTATACGAATCTCAAATCTAATGTTACGATTATAAAATTTATATTAAAAACATTAACAATCAATTTCATACCATACTCTCAAGCAAATACGAAAACATCATAAAAATTCATGAACTTGTTCTTTATAATCTCCTTCCTCTGTGGAATAAAAAATAAACATCCTATATACATCTCTCATCTTGTCGGCGCTCCTTGAGAGATCTGTCAAAAATTCGTTAGGTTCCTTATCACTTCCCAGAATTTAATTTCGAAGAATTTATTTCCAATTTATCTCCCGTATTTACGATTCTCTAGCCATCCGAAACTTTCCAGCTAGGATCTAACTATTTCTGGCTTATTCTTCGCTGGCCAAGCTTTGCGATATTTAAATTCAAGCCAATATCCGTAAAGGGGATTCGATCGGGCAACACGAATCAAGAAAATCTTCGTTCTATCGCGTCTTTTTACTATGACTTTCTTCTTCCGTTCAATATTCCGGCCTCGTTTCCGATGGTAATCTCAAGTTCTAGCCAGGACTTAAGGAATTAGCAATCACGCTGCTGTTTCTGCGAGAACTTCTCGGCGCAACCACTAATTGCAGATAATCTATTCTCAGAGTGCGGACATATTAAGATAAGTACACAATGGCAACAATGAGCAGCCACAGAATGAGCATTGCGGCTGACATTATTCTAAATACCATGGTCGCCATTGCTGCTCCCACTAAAGTGTAACTACAACTCCGGGTAACTTTGATGTTCAAAGCCTGTCCTTTAAATTGGTTCCATAGACGAGCAGGAAATTCAAATCGAGCGAATTTTATTTTGTGTCAGCTAATACTTAGAAATCTATTTTCTGTATGTTATATTGGCTTTCGACATTTACAATTTTACAACATTGAACAATTGAAAAAGAAAGGAATATGAAATGATTATTCAATAAAATATATTTGAAGAATGTACAAGGTGGCTCACCACATTTTGTCATCTAGATTTGTGTCATTATTATTACTCATAGCAAACAATGTTTCAGATCAAGTTGAATGGTTTTGGGAGGGGAATATATTGGTGGTATATTTTTTTTTATAGATAGACGTGTAAAGGACATATAAAGCTCATTAATGTTTTTTTAAATGGAATCATGTATTTTTTATTGCATCAGCTGATACTCCTTCATATTCTTTACAAAATTCATATTCTTTACAAAAATCTTTACAAAAAGGTATTAATCTATTTATGTGAAAAAATCATTAGTTTAGGAGATATTTTAATTCTAACTTGTTAGGAAATCGTGACTTTCTGGTCAATATTATGAATTGCCCTAACTAAACAGCAAATGTTTTACTACATGCTTTGAGAGGTTACGTCTCACCAAACGAATTGTCAGTTTTTGTTTTTTTTTTTGTTATACAGTAACAGTGAAATTTAGTCTCTGTTACGTCTCTAATACGGTGAATTATCACTTCATAATGAAGTATTCTAAAGAAGAAAAGATGAACATGTTATCAGTTTATTTTGAAGCTGGGAAAAGTGCTACACATGCAGAAAGATTATACACTACGGAATGTTAGTAAGTCATTAGTTTCTCAATTCAGAAAGTGTTTTGATGCAAATGGTCGCCACGTTGAACCTTTTCTGTAAATAGACATTAAAATTAAAGTATCTCCTAAACTAATGATTTTTTCACATAAATAGATTAATACCTTTTTGTAAAGAATATGAAGGAGTATCAGCTGATGCAATAAAAATATATAATTCCGTTTAAAAAAACATTAATGACCTTCATATGTCCTTTACACGTCCAGCTACAAAAAAAATATGCCACCAGTATATGCCTCTCTCAAAACCATTCAACTTCATCTGAAACATTGTTTGTTATGAGTAATAATAATGACGAAAATCTAGATGGCAAAATATGGTGAGCCACCCTATATAGGATGAATTACGAATTGTGACCAATGGAAGTTACTCTGTATTAGCAGTCCGATCAATGATGTTTTTATCAGTTTTTGCATGGTTTTAAGAGTGCTTTGATGCAACTATGGATAATGCGTAAAAAAATTATATGTTTATTGATAAAAAATTCAAGGTGTCCTTGAAAAAACAAAAAAAAAAGGAGTTGAGAAATAACTATTCATAGTTACGTTAAAGCTTTCTTAAAACCATGCAAAAGCTGATAAAAACATTTTTGATTGGACTGCTAATAATAAAGTAATTTCCACTGGTCACGATTCGTGAATCACCCTGTATATTACAGAAATGATTACTACAAATAATTTATGAAGAAATGACGAATTATTTATCACACGGAAATACGCATTACAAATAAATAACAAGATATTTCTTACAAATAAGTTACAAATAAACTACAAGCGAACGTGTAGATACAAAGCATCGTTTGCCGAACGCCATAATTGCACGCTATGTACATTTTTCAGAATAACACGTTGAAATTCCACTCTGACAAATTCTGTCTCTTTCTAAATGTAGTTTCTTTGTTACAGTGTTGCCTCTTATTATGCCTACTCTTTGGCTCGCGTATAGTAATCGTGTTAATTGCAGCGTGTCCGCACGTAGGGTTAACTTGCCTGATACGAGACCATTTCTTTAAAAAATCATAATTCTCGAATAAAACTGTTATTAAAATTCGAAAATAAGATATGCATTCTTTTGCCACCTACTAAGCAATACACAGTTCATTCGGTAGATACACGTTTGATAAATAACTGTTGGGAACGCTATTCGTGCACGTATTACTAACACACATACACTCATTCTACTTGGTCGCTTTATTGGGCTGCCAACGGAGTACATATGGTGTCACGTTCAGTTCCCATATTTTTGATTATATGCAGGGTGTGATCTATATTAGCACTTTGATTATATATGGGCGACGTTAAAATTCCCTTGAGCGTGTAACCGATATTATTAAAAATTCGTTCACTTAGCTAATTGGAAATATAAGTATGAGCTACTTGAAACTGTGAATAATAAAGTATTGTAAAAATATTTGATGAAGTTTGTTTAAAATAAAAATGCAGCTTAATAAAATTTTCAGTTGAATATGTCAGTTAATGTGTTAAATAATCATTCCGAATATACATATACAATATGAACATCTTTAAAATTGTTCTTAAAGCTTTTTAAATTTTTAAAACGATTTTAAAGAACCTTCAAACTCTTAAAGCAATATTTAAAGCTTTTTAAACTTTCAACAAAATTTTTAGAGCGTTTAAAATTCTTAAAACGGTATTTAAAGCTCTAAATTTTTAAAATAAATGTATAACATCGTACCTTAATATCCTATCAATCAGAATGTTCTGAAAAATCGCCTAAATATGTGTTTTTATTCCTTAATTATAGTTCCATTTAAAAGTACGAGATTAATTATAAAATTTTCGAAAATCTACATACGGGAAGGTTATTACATACACGGTCATTTACGAAATAAAACGTCACTACGAGTTTTAAATCTCTGCGGAGATAAGCTCTGGTTTTATATTAAGTAAGTTTGCCCCACACTTCGGTTTCGTTTGTGCATGCAAAATGCGGTACCCGATAAATGACACGAGAGCGCCAGGACACTTAACAAAATTACCAGATTCCCCGTGGACCGGTAAGTTTCCATGTAACTACCGCGTATTTAGATCCTCCATCGGTTTTCTTCTGCCTTATTAGGTACCCCTAAGAAGGTTCGTGTAATTTCCGGTCGCTATAAATACATACTCGGGAATCGGGACCTCGAGATCAATAGTAAAAAGATCCTTGGGAGTAGGGATGTTAGAAGGCTGAGTGGATGCTAGTAACCGGCTACGTACTCTTGGTTTCGATTCCTGAAGCTCGCAATCCTTATTTTTCACGAATTCCTCTAATACATATTTTATACTCTATTTCGTACATGCGCTTTCGTAAGTAGTTACCCCAGTTTTCGGAATAACGCTGTTCTAACGTGTGATAAACTTTGCAAATGCTCTGTGCGGTTCGAATCGAAATACTTGGGTAGCTGCACCATTTGCGGCTACTTTCACCATTTTTACCATTTTTTACCGTTTACGGCTACTTTCACCATTTTTTAACCACTGTAGTTAGTAAATTTTGTTATTTTTGAATTAGTCTCGTTATGAAAGAACAAGCTCAGTAATTATTGTGTATTGTAGCTACCATCTACAAGGAATGATTGATAATGTGAACACTTTGATTTTATTAACAATGTATAGGTTTGTAGAGAAGTTCAGTGCAAATATCAAGTCATTTTTTATTCTTTAAATGTGATTTTAGATTAACTAACACTCTTAGTTGAGAATATCTGCTGATTATAATTAAGGTCTCGCTTGATTTGTTATTGTGAAATTAAATGTATGATATATAAAGCTTTTTCACAATTTCTATCACAATTTTCATAACAATTTTTATAACAATTATTATAATGTCGTAATTCACAAATTTCTGTGTGCAAAATTATAGTTAGCCAAAGTAAACCGACTTAATACCTGGTTCCAGTAGTTGAATACCTGAATAATTAATATTTATTATATTTATTATTCACTTTATCCATAAACAAATAATTTTATTTTTTTACTGAAAATTATGAGTAAAATGTATTCATGTATTTTGCTTTGAAAAGTTCCAGTATTTTAATAACAAAAGTTGTTTGTTTGAACTCTTATTTATATCATTAGAACAGTGCTCTAATTTTGTTTGCTAAAAAAATTCGATTCGATTTTTCTTAAAGCGAATGCTGTTAGTAATATTTTTTATTTTGATATAATTCATATATTTTTGTATTTATTATTGAAAAATAATATATTGAATTGTGGTCTTTCGGAATACAAAGTTAAAATTGAAATTTATTTGGTTATTCCAGCGTACATGTGTGTGTATAATGAAATACCCAAACGTTCTAAAGTTGACCACCAGCACATTAAATGTCGCTCACTGTTAGTTAAACACCAATAATGAAATTAATTAACTAACTGTATAGCAATTACCGCTTTGTATTATATTTATTTATTTTTGTGAAAGCATTATTTGTTTTTAGATCTTACTTTAATAACAATCTTCACTTCATATAATTTGTACTATATTTATTAGTTTAATTAATGATAAATTTCGAATGCAGAGAACGATAGCGAGTGAAAAAGAGACCCTGCGATTTTGACAGTCGACAAAGATCAAAAGTTTGTATTGTATACATGTTCATGATGTTTTTCTAATTAAAATGAGACTAAACATGTCGAATTTCGAGGCATATTTATTTGTAATAATGCAGAAAAGTAACATTCTCCATGTCATACACCCATAGAAGTCTACGATTTGGTCTGTCAGACGCATCACGTGATTACCCGAATACCACCGAGGACAAACGGAATTACCCGAGGTGTCAGTACTGATACTTTTACCGCCAATCTTGTTAGTACATTAAAGCCTTGATATAAACAAAACGTTTGAAGTTACGAATAAATATGTTTCAAATTACGTCGTGTTTGCTGTCATTTTAATCAGGAAAATATTACAAATATGTTGGTAAGTGTTTCATAATAAAAAGTGAAAAGTGAAAATCTTTTATTTGCGCATTAGGATTCTTTCATAGATGTTACTGTTTATTTACGTTTGGTCGTTCCATCGTTTCCGTCGCTCACTTTTTTATGTTCGGTAAAACGTACAAGGTGTGACAATTAAATAACGAGACTGGTATGAAAAATGTGATTTAATGTAAATAAAGTTACGTTTAACTTTTATCTCCTCTAACATACTCTCCTTACCTGTAAACCGCTGCATACATGTTTTCCATTGTTCAAAACAGTGCTGTAGTTCATCAGTTTTCAACTGCTTCAACAATTCTACCGGTTTTGTTTTTATATGTTCAGTAGATTGAAAATGTTCTTTTCAATGTACTTCCGACTTTTGGGAACAAGTAGAAGTCACACGGTGCGAGATCTGGCGAGTACGATCAAGCACAGAAATGCGCTTGTTCGCTAAAAACTGCTTCACAGGTAGTCCATTGTGAGTTGGTGCCTTGTCTGGTTCAGAATCCATGAGCCTTCAATAGATCCGTCTTTTCTTCCTTACTCTTTCCCTCAGCTTGATTAGGACTTCTTTGTACTATTTCTGATTAACGGTTTGTCTTTCAGGCACCCATTTAGTCATGATAACACTTTTAGAATAAACAAATATACTCGAAAACCACAAATATACAGGATGTCCTACAATTAGTATAGGTCCCTGAAATGAAGGGTAGCTAACATGATTCTGAATAAGATTTCCCTTTGCAAAAATGGGGTTTGAAGCTTTGTTTTTGAATTATTAAAGAAAAACACGGACCAATCAGAGCGCGAGGATTACACGTGCGCAGACGCGAGAGCGATAGTTTCGAGCCTAGTGGCTGAGCGTGCGTAATCCTCGCGCTCTGATTGGTCCGTTTTTTTCCTTAATAATTCAAAAACGCAGCTTCAAACCCCATTTTTGCATAGGGAAATCTTATTCAGAATCACGTTAGCTATCCCCCATTTCAGGGACCTACACTGTTTGTGAGACACCATGTATGTATTTCAACTTCTCGCAAGGTGCTTCGCTTCACAATGCATCACTACGAGAGAGCATGGTAAGAAGAGAAAAAAAGAAGATGGAAGGAAACAAAAGACATAATAGCAATTATTCCAATTATGTGTTACGTGTAGATGGCATGATTATCATATACATATGTATTTTTGTTTTGTTACCATCTTACACGCGTTATTCAAATTAGTATAACATTAAAACACATATAATGTGGTATGCTGATTACTCTAACAACAGCATTGCCTTCGATTTCGACTTACTCATTCGCACTTTTTTCGTTTTCGACGATCCGGGGTCTTCCAGTACATCGATTGACGCTTTATTTCCAGGTTGTACTAGAAAATCCAAGCTTCATCACATGTTTTTGTGAACAGGTCTGGTTTGTTTCGCTGCTCGGCTTTTATGTCAACAACGATTGCAGCACTGCAGCGGCGACCTATACAATTAACGCTAGAATCAAAAGCTGACAGAAGGACAAAACTACGTGTCGTTGTTCCGGAAGTATCAAAATCAATGACCTACAAATGACAACATCCAAAGCTGTTGCGCGGTAGAATGTGTGCAGTCTCGTTAATTAAATGTCACACCTCGTAGATCTATGTAGGAATAACACAGTATAAGCAAACGTTGAAACTCGAGATATTCGCTTATATCACGGCTTTACTGTATCCCGTCTTTCCCCTTGCGAGATTGCTTTCACCACGTGCAGTAACATAATTTACTCGACTACTTTATTATTCTTTTCGAGCTTTCGAAGGTAAAGGTATCTCGAATCTTCGCCATGCAATAGGGGTTTTCATCGCCCAGTATATCTGATTTACAATTATGTTTTATTAACCAGTGTCACACCATGCGAAGCATAAGTCATACCTTAACAAAGTATAAATTACCTATTACAAATTACCTATAATAAATTACCTTCTACATAGATAACAATATCAATGTATACAAATACATTACAGTAGACATTATTTGCCTACGTCTTCAGTTTTACATTATACTAAGCAAATGCATTTACTGGACCAAGTAAATATCTAGGTGATTTATATTATATTTAAGAAAAGTGATTTTTAAATTGCACCTATTATCTTATGTATATACGTAATCCTCGCGCTCTGATTGGTCCGTTTTTTTCCTTAATAATTCAAAAACGCAGCTTCAAACCCCATTTTTGCATAGGGAAATCTTATTCAGAATCACGTTAGCTATCCCCCATTTCAGGGACCTACAGTTGTGAGACACCCTGTATATCAATGCATTTATAAAGTATATTTCTAAACCTCTACATCTGTCAATAAAAATCTTGAAGCTTGTATATTCTTCAATTTTGAATGTCAATCAAAAAGAAGTGAAACTTGAATTTAAAAATTTTAATGTTAACTATGAGTTTGTGAGACACCATGTATGTATTTCAACTTCTCGCAAGGTGCTTCGCTTCACAATGCATCACTACGAGAGAGCATGGTAAGAAGAGAAAAAAAGAAGATGGAAGGAAACAAAAGACATAATAGCAATTATTCCAATTATGTGTTACGTGTAGATGGCATGATTATCATATACATATGTATTTTTGTTTTGTTACCATCTTACACGCGTTATTCAAATTAGTATAACATTAAAACACATATAATGTGGTATGCTGATTACTCTAACAACAGCATTGCCTTCGATTTCGACTTACTCATTCGCACTTTTTTCGTTTTCGACGATCCGGGGTCTTCCAGTACATCGATTGACGCTTTATTTCCAGGTTGTACTAGAAAATCCAAGCTTCATCACATGTTTTTGTGAACAGGTCTGGTTTGTTTCGCTGCTCGGCTTTTATGTCAACAACGATTGCAGCACTGCAGCGGCGACCTATACAATTAACGCTAGAATCAAAAGCTGACAGAAGGACAAAACTACGTGTCGTTGTTCCGGAAGTATCAAAATCAATGACCTACAAATGACAACATCCAAAGCTGTTGCGCGGTAGAATGTGTGCAGTCTCGTTAATTAAATGTCACACCTCGTAGATCTATGTAGGAATAACACAGTATAAGCAAACGTTGAAACTCGAGATATTCGCTTATATCACGGCTTTACTGTATCCCGTCTTTCCCCTTGCGAGATTGCTTTCACCACGTGCAGTAACATAATTTACTCGACTACTTTATTATTCTTTTCGAGCTTTCGAAGGTAAAGGTATCTCGAATCTTCGCCATGCAATAGGGGTTTTCATCGCCCAGTATATCTGATTTACAATTATGTTTTATTAACCAGTGTCACACCATGCGAAGCATAAGTCATACCTTAACAAAGTATAAATTACCTATTACAAATTACCTATAATAAATTACCTTCTACATAGATAACAATATCAATGTATACAAATACATTACAGTAGACATTATTTGCCTACGTCTTCAGTTTTACATTATACTAAGCAAATGCATTTACTGGACCAAGTAAATATCTAGGTGATTTATATTATATTTAAGAAAAGTGATTTTTAAATTGCACCTATTATCTTATGTATATAATTTTAAATATTTAATTAATAGCATAAGTCAAGATTTGTAAAATTATGTAACGTGCAATTAGAATAATAAATTTGGACACATACAATTTTTAACAAAATAAAATAAATAGAAACATAAATATATTGAACATCTTTTCTAAACTAAAATAATTTCAACACATACAAAGTTATCGGGTAAAATAAATGATACTTGCAGAATAGTTACTTTTTACTTCTATTCTTATAAAAATTTCGCAATAATTGAACACCAAAATTTGTGATGTGTAATTACCCCAATTTTCTCCAAAATTATTTCATAACAGTACTAATTAATATTAACAATTTTCTTTTCTGAAATTTTTAAGAAAATAACATAAAATGATAGGATTAAAACTAGGTCACGGCTAAAAAGGATTATGATGGTCCTCACTTTGCCGCCATTTGATAGTTTCACATTTCTGATAGAAATCAGCAGCTTTCACACGAAATTACAGTTCTCTGATAGCTCATCCTTTAGAGAGTTGTCCAACCAAGTTGCCCTTGCGAATTATCTCTGAAAAGTCGAAGCAGGTGTCGGTGGTCGTTGCTAAATATCCGAACGGTCCGTTTCAAAGGGCGATGCAAGTTGGTGATTATGGTTGCAAACGGAGTCAAGCCGAGGGAAATATTGGCGAACATGACATTCGACCATTTTTCATATCGTGATAAGCCAGTTCGAAGAAACCCTGTTCCTTAGATGGTGATAGAGGATCGTTCATAAGGCGTGGGTGTTGATTAAGTTAGTAGCATGCAAATCGTTCATTCCCGTATCTGCCTTCTAGCATCTACACTTTCACCAGTCAGGTATATAGGGTGTTCGTACCTTTTTTTCACAAAATATTGCGGCGCATTCTAGGAGTAAAAAGTAAAAGTAAAAAGTAAACTGTCATGTAAATCTGAAACGTGGCAAATTTTTCTCGAAGTTCTGGAATATTTGTATGAGAAGACTTTGGGGATTTGGAAATTTGGGCGTTTGAAAGGGCTGGATTTTGCAAATTTAGAGATCTGCAAAATGGAGAATTTTTAAATTGAATTCTTAGCTACCTGGGAATTTGGAGAATTAGTAATTTGGAAATTTGGGCGTTTCTTTAATAATTTGGGAATATGGAAGCGTACAAATTAAAGTATTTGTGAATTTGTTAATTTAAAAATTAGAAAAGTTGGGAATGCTGAAGTTCGAATATTAGCATATTTTGACGTCAAAGAAGTAGGGACACCCTGTACTATTTTATGGCCCAGCCTTAATTTTAACTCGCAGTGAAACGTGCCGGGGTCTAACATAATTATACATAATTTGTGATAACCATGAATGGTATCGTGATCGCAGTTTGGCAGAAACTGTCTACGCAGCCCATAAACTTTAAGAAGGCGTTATGATTTTTTCGCAATATCATATGGAGTGATTCCACGTTAAATTGATCATTTTTTCTGGATATCTCGGATATTATTAAATATAATGTAATTCGTGCAAAATTTGGAAATTGATAGGAAAACGCAGTCAATGAAAATAACTATGATATTACATTTTATTAAAATCATTATCATAATACTAAATATTCTAATCTTATACTGTATTATACTCTATTATTCACTTATTTAACTTCTTTATTTTTATATTTTCAATAATATTTACAATTCATTTAAATTTCAATTATTTCTTAATATTAATAATAAGCTAAAATTAAGTGTTCGAATATTAATGTGAATAATTGTAGTTAGAAACACTCCCATTAAGTACTTGGGACCATGAATAATAAACGTAATGAAATATTGGGAAAACATTTAGCATAATTTGTTAAGTGTAAAAATACTCTATAATGAAATGTCCAACTGTCTCAGTGTGGTGTTACGTGCGGGAAGCGCGCGTATAAAGCCTCGAAGATTTGTTTGTCCTAACAAAATTAATTATTACGGGACTTAATATTTTTGTGGATCCGGAGACACGCTAGTCCCATACGGACCCTTTCACAAGATCGCAATGATTAGAGGATATGACGGAGGCAATTAAAGAAATGTAATTCAAAATAATTAGAAAATACAAAAGATTATATTTTGTATAATAAAATATGAAATGGTTAGAATGGTAGCGTATATAATATAATGTGAATTACAATGAACTGAACAAAAATATTGTAAATATCCGAGACGCGCAATTCGAAGATTTGAAGGAGAAACAATTACTTGAATACAAAATAAAATTATAATCCAGTGAGGGAAATCCCAAAGTTAAATAATTAACTACTGATTTGCTTGCTGAAAAATACATAAAATAGCTGGAAGAATAAAGGAAACAACTCACCCAAAATATCTGTACTTGTATGAATTTAGAATAAATCAAACTCTTGTAAAACGTGAAATGCCAACTACGCCTGGTTTCTGGGAAGAACACACACACATGTAAGCGCTCCACCAATGAGAATTTTGAAAGTGACCAATTGTTGAATTCAAATAAACTATAAAATAAAATTATACTTTAAAAATTAAAAAGAATAAAATTGAATATATTTGAATGGAAAAATAAAATAATATATTGAATTAAAAATTTAACGTGATTATTAAAGCGAAAGCTTTACGTAAAGATAGAGTCTTTGTCTGAATTTTGCACTTTAACTAAATCAAGAACAAACTCGACTCTAAACCACTTCACGGACTCTCGACACGCACCTCACGATTATACACCGAAGAGTGTCGCAACTTACACCTCTCGGAGAAGACCAGAGTGGGCCTAGTCCGAAATTGTTTATGTTGCATTGATATGCGCCTAACGAATTAGGCTGCGAGGCTAATGCGTAAGAGACCGTGATTCGTTAATTAGGCGGTGATGGTGGGTGCATGTGTTCCTCCCTTGTCCAGCTCTTATCTCTCTCTCTCTTCCTATATAGTTCCTTTCCTTTACTCTTGAGCTATGGACTGCTGATTAACTATTAAATAATTTTTACATGCAAAACCAATACAGTATAAAATGTTAATCTGCACACATTATAAAAATTTAGAATGAAACATTATGTATTTCGTTTTACAATTATTAAAGTTAAATTGCGCTTGGTACTGTAACTATTGTAGGACTGATTGACGTATGCGTATTTATAATAACGGTATAATGAAATACTATGGACAATTTATATAATATTGTAATGTTACAAAGACAATTTCTATTACAATTCTATGTATATTGCGTCGCGGGCCCTTGAGGAACATTCAAGAACGCTTGGCGTTATCGGACCACACGAGTGTGACTTCCGTTTATGTTTGGCGTTTCGGAGAAGT